TTACTGTACTTAAGTACATTTTTCATGTCTCTGTACTAGAGTTAAACGTGGGTACTTTCGACTTTTACTTCACTACATTTTACATTAAGTATCTGTACTTTCTACTACACTACATTTCTATAATATGTTGCGATACACGTTACTTTCACGTTGTGGTTTTTAAAATTTTTTCGTTAGTTTGAAAGTAACCAATGGCGAGAGGGGAGCTGGTCCATTGAATCACTGCAAAGTGGGCAGGTAACAGTAGACCTGCCTTCAAGAAGAGCTGGGCCAATGAAGTATATTCTAGTATATATGTCATTGAGCTGGGAGCACCAGCAGCACCGCTAACACACCCAAAATGGATTCCACCGTGGAGAGTCAGCCAGAAGATACTCATCACCCATGGCCTTATTGAAAGATTATTGAAAGACAATTGAAAGACTATTGAAAGATTATTGAAAGACTATTGAAAGATTATTGAAAGACTATTGAAAGACTATTGAAAGATTATTGAAAGACTATTGAAAGATTATTAAAAGACTATTGAAAGATTATTGAAAGACTATTAAAAGACTATTGAAAGACTACTGAAAGTTTATTGAAAGACTATTGAAAGACTATTGAAAGACTATTGAAAGACTATTGAAAGATTATTGAAAGACTATTGAAAGATTATTGAAAGACTATTGATAGATTATTGAAAGACTATTGAAAGTTTATTGAAAGTCTAATAAAAGTTTATTGAAAGATTATTGAAAGACTATTCAGTACAGCAGGACAGATTCTCTCTCCCAAAGAGCCAGACTGGACTCAAAAAACTTTGAAAACCAACTTCTTCTGAACTTGAACAAGAAATTCTTGCTGCAATATTAAAATGTGTCAGTTCATGGGATGTTAGGAGACGAGAGATGTCTCCAAATGACGCAACACTCAGGTCCAAGTTTTGAAAATGGTGTCAGGAAGTTAAAATATTGTTCACTATTGACCCAGTACAAGGTCGACTAGACAGTATTTTAACTAGAGTTGATGACAAACTGGAGTTGAAA